CCTAAAGACAATCACGACTTTTTATGTGTTTCTTAAAGGTAAATTTTCAATACAAAAATTTTAATTTTTTTGTGACAAAAATATTTTCAAGGAAATAGTAAGAAAGCCCTCTCAAACGAGGCCAAATCAGTGTTATTGTTTGGATTTTGGGATGAGTACAAGCCTTATATGTTGTTGGTTGCATGTTTTGAGCCCCATTCTTAGTATTTTAATAAGGTGTGCTGTCAATCTTATACTTAAACTATAGAAGATAAATTATTAGTGGCCAATTCTTATACTAAACTATTCTCAAGACTATTAATCGAATTACTGGCACATCAAAAATATTTTATTTATTTCATTAAAAAGCTAAAGATATTATTTTATTTATAAAATTAAATTAGGCATATGTTAATTTTGAAATTATGACTCAATCTTTATATAAAAAGATTATTGGATTCATGAAGGATAAAGACATGTCCTCAATAACAAATTAGGAGCAATGTATAGACAACCTCATAGGCCTATGAGCCTTTAAAAAAAAGAAGAATTTTGTTTGTACTTTAGAGGGATCAACAATTATTTTACTATTAGATTTATCAAATACTAACAAATTTGACAAACTCAATTAATATTAGGTGCTAAAATCTTTATTATTATTTATATATTATTAATCATCAAATCATCATTTTTCTTATTATATTTTTTTGGAACAATATTATGGATCTTTATTTTCATTATATTTTTTGCTGAGTTTATTGAAGTTGTTAAATTATTTATTGAAATCATTTTCGATGGGATCTATATTTTTTGGGTTATAACCCCTTTTCATTAATTCTATCAAGTAATATAAGAAATAAATTTGTTATTGAAGACAAAAAACTAATGCAAGCCAAAAGTGTTGTGAATTGAACTTATAATTTTATTTAAAAGTTTTCCTAACTAAAAATCACAAATGGCTTGTGGGACGGCTTCTTACTACTTTTTAAAGCAAGCTTTCTAGTACAAAAATTTTAATCTTTTTACTAGAAAGATGTGATAAGAAGTAATAAAAAATCAGGTCCCCAATGTAAATAATTAACTAATCAAGCTCACATAGTATAAAGAGTGATTGGTATTTAAGATGTAAATAAATCAATGTAATTATACCCCAAATCAATAATATGGGTAAATGACTTGCAAGTAAGTAAACTAACCTACAAATGCAATACATATAATGATATATGAAAATATATAAGGATATTATATTAATAAGAGAGTTGATGAATAATAAAATTACATATGCGGGAGTTATAGGATAATTCAAACATTAAGCATAAGCTTGTGTAAACAATCAACTTCAAAGGTTACAAGAACAATCACATAAGTAATTGCTAATCTTATTCAGTTTTTTTTTCCTCTTGGAAATTACAGCGACGTCGTAATTAATATGCCGGTTGTATATTATTATTACTATGGGTTAAACTATGGCTGTTGTTTGGAATAGCTTTCTATTGCTTAATTAAAAAGTAGCTTCTAGTACAAAAAAATTTAATTCTTATACAAAAAGTTGTTTAAGCATGCCAGTAAGAAAGTCAACCCAAATGAAACATATATCTTTAAATAGTTGTTGTCCAAACAATTTAAATTTCACTACATGAAATTCATATATTACTGGCGGCATTTTCCGACGGTTTTAGAATCTATCGATGGTTTTTTGGCGGAAAAAACTTCCGCCGGTAAAAACCGCATAGAAAATAATTTCCGGCGGTAATTAATTCCTCCGGCTTGCCGGCGAAATTACACCGCCGGAGAAAAAATAAAAAAATAAAAAACGCCATCGTGGCCAGCCAGTCTTCCGGGGCAGCCCTTGCACCGGACAGGTGCACCCTGGTGCTCCCGACACCGCGCCAGATCGCCAACGCTCGGGCCCGCCAACCGTGCCTACATGTGTCTGTGTGCGACCCAACCGCGCCCGCGCAAACCGTGGTGCGCCAGCCAGCCCAACGACTGCGTTGCCCGTAGAGTTCAAAACCTGGGTGGCGTTAGAGAAATTTGACACTCCAACCAAAATTGTAAACATGTAAATGCATTATTAATGTTCAATTTTTTTAATTAAATTATATTTTGGACATAAAATTAAATATCACAATTAAGTTAATAGACCAAACTAATTTAATTAAAGAAGTTAAAAAAAT